ACATACAACTACATTAATAGGAATTAGAAAGGAAATTCTCCTTGCACAAGGACCATTAGATATGCTAAGAACAAGTAAACAGGTAGACAGCCTTGCTATCAAAAGGTATCCCAGATCAAGACACTGGGAAAAGTACTCTGTAGAAGATGAGCTAACAATCAAGAATCAGAAAACATGTAAGGGATGTCAACAAATGAAACTCATGAAGCCAACAAATAGAAAAACTTTGACCCAAGAAAACATAATTAATAGAACAATCAGAAAAAAATCCACTAAATAAATAAATAAATAAATAAAAATATATTTAAGATCTTCCGTGATGTAAAGCAAGGATTCACATCCATGAAACAAGAGTAGGATGTTTTAACCCAAGCAAAGGTGGTTATCAAAACAATGAAACAGAGATTTTGAAAAACAAATTTTTGAAATAAAAAAACTTGAAATTTGGCCTTAATAGCACTCTAGAGGTAGCCAAAGAATTAATCAGTTTAACCAAATCATGATATTGACTTTGCTTTTGATGTAATAAGGAAAACTTAAGGTTTGTCATTTCATGGTATTCTTCTTCTCATCATTTTACTGGCCATATTGATATTTTATTTTAATCCCTTTCAACCTAAAAGGTTTTCTTTTGGATATCCGATCATATATAAGTATTACTATTAGTTTGGTTTACTTCAATGCCCTCTCACCAAACTCAGGTGAAGTTCTCACCCCCCAGCTATGGATTATAGGCTAAAAAAGAACTGGTTTTTCTCTCTCCCTCTTCTACTCCTTCCTATCCCAGTCACTATACTTACTCTTGTTGGTAGTGGTGTGAAAAAAGGGAGTGAAAAGAGTGAGAAGGAGTTTGCTTATGTGACTGCCTGAACATCAGTGGGAATTGAAAAAGGAAATCTTTCTTGGCCATCACTTCTTTATGCTGGGAATATACAATGCTGATGACTATGCAGTAGGCTTACTCAACATGAATGTGTCCAATTTAGGCTTCTTCTAACTTAGTATTTTTAAGCAGTTGTCTCTCTGCTCTGGACCATTATGTTATAACCCTCTAGCAGCATAATCACACCTCCATTTTGGATGTAGGCCTACTCACTCAACCAAGACAGATTTTTTGGGGCAGCCTAGTCAATGCAACCTACTCATCTAAAAGTTTCTGTCACAATGTTTAAAGAAAACTTCAAGGACTCCTTCCCTGCCTCTCACAGCTGTAAGATGCAACTTTCTTGCACCTTTCCGTAATACATATTACAATGTTTTATATCAGCATCACCAACTGTCAGCTGACAGTAACTGTAGATGAGAAAAAAAAAGACACATGGATGGTAGAAACCTTAGGAACAGTCACATAGTGAGAAAGAGAGAGACAACACATAGAGTGGAAAAGAGGGAAGTTACAATTACCCTACCAGAAAATTCTGCTCTCTCTAGCTAAGGGGAACAACTAGAAAAGCTAGACAAAATGTTTCGAAAAACCTAAATGAAGGCATCAGACATCTACCAGACAGTAAAGAACTATGGAGCCAAGATCCAAAAAAGGAAGGAAATCCAGAGACAGTGTGGCCTGTGAGGTAATTTTTCTTTAGAAGAATTGGCTGAGGTACAGGAAGCTCGTAAACTTCATAGGGCTACAGGTGAGAAGGTAATCTTATAAATGCAATACACTTTGATTTGGAACCTTTCAGGGTTACTTCCTAGAAGTAAGCACAAACTTTTCCAGTTTGTGATTTGTGGGGGAATGAATCCTAGCTTTGAAGCATCTAAATGTGTGAACAGACATTATTAGTCTGCTCCCTCTAGGTACCGGCTTGATGGCGTACACAGCTCAGGCCTCTCCTCTTCCTAACAAAGTCACCTTCTATGGGACACCTAGGGGTTATTTGTTACACAGGGAAAAAAAGATTCTAGATGAAAGATCAGAGGTGCATGATGAAATGAAGAGCAATTAAAAAAAGTAAATATGTAGGTTAATCTAAATGAACATGAGCTATACAAAACAACAATAATGTCATATGTGGTTCGAAAATTATGTAGGATTAAAATACATGATGAGAATGGCTTATAAGTCAGAAGGAGGTAAATGAAGTTAAGGTGTTTCAAGATCCTTGTATTGTCCAGAAAAAATGTTAAAATCTAATTAATATAAAACTTTAGTGAGTCAAGATTCCATATTGTAATTTCCAGGGTAGTTACAAAAAAGCAAGAGTGAGTAGGAGAGAAAATATGGGTATATCCTCTAAGTTGATAGAGGAAAAAATGAAGTAATAAAAAATACTTAATAAAAAATAAGGCAAGAAAAGAGGGGAAAGAAAAGAAAAAGCAGGGCTGGGTGTGTTGGCCCACACCTGTAATCCCAGCAATCTGGGAGGTCGAGGCAGGCAAATCACTTGAGCTCTGGAGTTTGAGACCAGCCTGGGCAACATGGGGAAACCCTGTCTTCACAAAAAATACAAAAATCAGCTGGGTGTGGTGGCTTGCACCTGTAGTCCTAGCTACCTGGGAGGTTGAAGTGGGAGGATCGCTCAAGCTTGGGAGGCAGAGGCTGCAATGAGCCAAAATCACGCCACTGTACTCAGCTTGGGCAACAGAGCAAGAGCAAGACCTTGCCTCAAAAAAAAAAAAAAAAAAAAAAAAAAAGAACACAGGACTGATATGACAATAGCATTTGAAAGATTATGGATGTAAGCTCAAATAAAATATATTAGCAATTATATTAGTTCAGAGATTTTTTTTAATTTGGAACATAAAGTATTGCCAAACTGAATTTGAGAAACTCAACCATATGCTATTTATAAGCGAAACTTCCAAAACATGAGATATAGAAACGTTGGAAAAAAAAGGATGGAAAAGATAAACCATGCAAAGCTAGTATAGCTATATTAGTTATTATACAAAATAGTCTTCAAGTTAAAAACGTATGAAGAAAATGAAAGACTATGCTGCAACTTTGCACTAGGATCAAAGACTTCATTGGTACTCAGACTTGTGACTAACTTACATGCTACATCCTGGCAGAAGAGGATCACAAATGGGAAATGGCTGCAAGGAAGATCATGGAAGCTGGCCAGTTGGCATCTCAGTCTTGGGAACAATGGTGAGGGTTCCAAGCCATGCTTGTGGTCAATGTAAAAGCCTGTTGTGAGGAATATTTCTGTAGAATGCCTGGAAGAGCAATTCCAAAAAGTGGCTAGGGACAAGTGTTCAACTGAGGCATTGTGTAATGGAAGTAATAATGACCAGAGTGACCGGTGTCATTTTGATAACCAGAGTTTCCTCTTACCACTACCACACTATTTTTGCTGTCTTGTGGTAAGCCCCAGGTCTTTGATACCACTCAAGTGGTGGGGAGAGAGGCAGAAAGATTTGGATATTAGACTTTGCATAAACCTTGTCAACTATGGATCTCAGAGCTGGTATTTTAAAATTTATAAATATAAAGAAATGAATTATCTAATAATATTTATATTTTAAGCTGAAATACAAGTTCTGTGGAATAATTCAGAAACTGGCCCATAAATAAAATTGCAGATGAACCAATGAGAAGGCTAACTGATAACCCCCAATGGATAAGTAGGCAGAGGAAAATAAATTTTAAAAGAAAAGAAATTAGTTAAATAAACTTGTTCTGAAACTAAATTATTCAAATTAAAACAAAAAAATTTCATCAAGAAAAAACTTTCATAATATTAGACTATTTAATGTTGACTGTCATATAGCTCTATTTTAAACAGAAATTGCTATAACATTTTGAGAAAGTACTTCGGCAATAGACATAATGATTTCTTTTCTTTTTTTTTTTTTTTTGAGACAAGGTCTGGCTCTGTCACCCAGACTGGAGTGCAGAGGGCCTCTTGGGCCCAAGAGATCCTCCCACCTCAGCCTCCTAAGTAGCTGGGACTACAGGCACACACCACCATGCCTGGCTAATTTTGGGGCATAATACATTTTCACAATGTTTATTCTTCTTGACTCAATAATGCCCTTTGTGGGAATCTATTCTAGGAACATTAGTCAGAATACAAAGATTTCTCTGCATTACTAGTTTATAAAAACAAGAAAACTGGACACACTTATAATGCCTAATAATTAAATGGCTAAGTGTATTATAGCATCTGTCATGAAATATTTTTAAACCATTTTAAATGATATTCATTAGGAGTTTTAAAATGTTTAAATGCTTAGTTATTTTAAGCAAAAATGAAAAGTAAAATTAGGTATACAATATGAGCATAATAATATAAAAATAAGCATAGAAAAATATACCAAGTGATTATCTCTCAAGAATGAGAATAAACATATGCCATATTTTCTAACATTTTGTATTTTACACATAAAATAACAAACCATGTTTTACTTCTATAAAGGAAAATATAACTGTATTCCATTTTTAAAAGCCCCATATCTGAACAAATTTTTTTCCCCCAAATACCAAATAACAAGTAAGATTTGCAGGAAGGTTAGAAGACATCAAGCCAGAAAAACTAAAAGGGTGGGGACAGTCCCAGAGTAGGAGTTTAGCCATGAAAGGGTGTTGGAAGGAATACCTGTCACTGTGTTCAGAATCCTAGGAAGCCCCTTAAGAACAATACGGGAAGGAAGAGGGTATAGAAGCAGCAGAGAAGGCAGGGTTCAGAGGCAGAGATCATGAAGACCAACTAGTTTAGGTATCAGTAACTCAGACAAAGAGACTAAAGAAAAGATACCAGGCAAACATTATCTGAGTAGAAGGACTGTGGACATTGGAAGCATGAAGCTTCCCACTGAGCCACGTTTGGTCTAAGTGTGAGACTGAGCACAGTGGAAGAAAGTGCAACAGGTTAGGGTGCTAAGCATCCTACCCCAGCCCCAAAGGCAGGTCTTTCACCCATAAGCTGAGGAAAGCCCAGTTTTGTCTGCCTTCCCTACTATGTCACCAGATCTTTTCAACCTGAGGTAGAATCCAGGTGGCTATCAGACCAAAATGCCCTTATACAAATGAAAGTACAAAAAATGAAACTCACCAGTCAAAGTTAAAGTATTCGTTGGATGTTTCTAACCACAGGAACAGCAACATCACAGATAAGACAAATGAAATTATCAGGCACGGGCAAAATAATTGCTCTTTCTAGGAAGAGAAAAAAGAAATCTAACTTAGCTCCATTTATCCTTGCTACCTCAGCAGTTTCTATATACACTTGCCAAAGGTCATCATAGTTGCAACTGCCATGTATTACCCTCCTGAGGCTGGAGTGATCACTCTCTTCTTTTTACCCCTACCAAATCCTGTATAAACCTATCTATAATCTTTCTTACACTGAACTGGAATTACACATTTATATGTTTTATCTGATGCTACACTGCTTCCTCTTTGAGGAAAGGGAACATCTCTGCATTACCAATACATAGCATAGTTTCTTGAATGTAGCTGACTCTAGACAATCATCCGTTGAATTCATCTGCCTCTCCAGTTACCACATTTTATTTAGTGATTAATTTATTGAGTAATTAATTCATTCATCATTAATCAGTTCATTTAGTCATCAATCTACCCCACTGGAGAAGAAAAGAGGAATCAGAGTTAAAGAATGAATTTTTTTTTTAAAGTACCTATTTGTTCTAGTAAAATGCTAGGAATTTTACAAGCTACCTTCAGTTGATTTATTTCTCATTAGAGCCATATGAGTTAGGCATTAACTAATTTTTTGCAGAAGAAAGCTCAGAGAGGTAAAATAATTGACTCAAGATCATGCAGCTAAGAAGTGGCAGCAGCAGGACTAGAACCCAGATCTGTGTAAGCTCAAAGCCAAAATGGAGGTTATCATTATGGAGGAGGTACTGCTTTCTCTTTGAAGGCAAAGAAGTCTCCCTGTGTTAGTTTTGTCCCTTCCAGTAATATGTCCTCCACACAATCAAATAATCATTCAAAACACAGCTCAGACTACATCACCAACTTAAAGTCTTTGGGGATTCTTTATTCCCCACATGGCAGAGGTCAAATTCTTAAAACCACACAACACTGGACCCATCTCCCTCTCTAGCTTCTTTCCCCCTCACTTCATTCATATCCTCTCCTTCAACTAAAATAAACCTATACCAATCTCCAAACTCATTATGCCCTTTGGTTCCTCCTCCAATGTCAATTCTTTACTATCCCCGATTCTCTACCTATCCAATTCTTAATCACCCGTCACCTTCTAAAATAGTGATCTTTGGCCCTCCCTTGGTACCTGCCTGTGCACATGCACATACAGTTACAGCACTTCTCTTACTATATGGAGACTGTGTATGTGTGTGTACTTATCTTTCCCCACAGCAGATTGAATTCCTTGAGAGCTGGAACCATGCCTGAAGCACTCGTATTATCTCCAGTGACTGGCATAGAGGCCAAATATCTGGGCAGGAAAGATATAGGGGACAGAAGAACATTCCTGCCTACTCCAGGGAAACCTCCCATTTCCTACCCCTTTCCTTGTGTTCCCCACCCCAGGTATAAGAAACTCATGATTTAATTGGTCTGATTCTAGGACCCTAGCTGGACCACATTTACAAATAAGTAAAGGTACATGATTTCGCTCTTCTTTTCTCATTTCAATGTGCTGATCATTTAATCTCTTATGCCATGTTGCTCACCAAAGGGTCCCAACATATGGCTTACAAATAGAAAGATGGCCTAGAAGAGGCTAGGCCACATGCCACCACTCAGGCTTACTAGAGCTCTTCCTTTGGGAAAATCAGGCACTAGCTTGACCAATAATACAGGAGCACCTTGTTGCCCACTTGCTATTTTTTTCTCCTGAGAAGAGAAATTCACAGAGGAGAGCAAATTACAATTAACGCATCCCCATAATCCCTAGACAAAAATATCTAATTGTACCCAACCTCACTTTTTCTTCAAGATTTACTGAATGAATAAATGCAAAAGGGAATTAATGAATAAATGGATGACAGAGAGATAGTAAGGAAAAGTGAAGAATAAAAGTGAAAGAAAATGAAGAAAGCAAGTACATGTTTTAATAAGTCTAACATTGGTGCAGTACTTTTATGGAAGAAATGGAGCCCTAGCATCCCCAGTCCCAGAGACTGTAAAGAGCCCCCATGGGGCCAGGGGCCAGTCTATGCTCCCCACATCTGAGAAAATGTGGTCCAGCTCCTTATCAGTCCATACCCAACTGCAGCAACAAAATCCAACTTTAGTTTTTTCCAATTTTCTGAATTTCCAGAGGCAACTATAGCAGCCAGTAAGGAAGGTGACATAGCGTTGGTGGCAGGAGATGTGTGAAATCCATGGATTAAGCTTTTTTGGTTTTCTTGTCTTGTTCCTCTTGGGCTCAATCCTGTTGACCTTCTTAAACATGATTCAACCCTTTGGCTGGAAAGACAAATAAAATAATCAGGATCTACTGTAGCTCCCCTTAATGTACCTTATCCCACCATTCTACAGAAAATTTTATCAATGATAGATGAATTTTTAAAACACTGTTTATAACAAAGGATAATATATTGGATTTGGGGCAGAAGAATAGAGCTTCATCCTACCTTTCCCACTAACTTTTTGACTGTTTATTGTGATCATTGTACCATTTTAGGTTTACTTTTCTTACCTCTAAAATGGGACCATATTCCCTGTCCTTATCAACTAATAGATGCTGAAAGAATCAAATTAGATAATACATACAAATATGCTTTGTAAATTGCAACATCCTGTTGAAATAAGTTGAGAAAGTAAAGGCCCAAGTGAGGTATATGAAAATACAATCCTTGACTAACAAGTGACTCAGACATACAGCTGGCTGCTTCTTCCCTTTCTTTCCTCTCCCATGTGGAATCAGTTAGGGTTAGCTTCAGTTGTGAATAATGAAACCTTCGAAACAACAATGACTGAAATATGATGTTTATTTTTCCTTTGCCAACAAAAAATATTTCAGAGATAGAAAGAACAAAATATATAGCATGTGGCTTCACAATGGCATTAAGAACACAGGCACCCACCACAACCTGCACCTATGTACATCATTAAGGGGCCTGCGGGCAAGCCAACATCACCTGGTACCACTACCACCACCAATGCCTACCCACATGTGCCACCTGGGTACCTATATACTGACCCACCCATCCTATTGCTGTCACTAATAGCACCAGTGCATGCCACCTGGGAAAGCGACTGGCATCACTGACACCACATATGCTCCCCAGGGCTCCAAGGTCCCACCCACCTGCCCAGCACACTGCTGACACTGTCAGTACCCAGGCAAGCCACCTAGAGACCTAAAAATTGGCCCGCCTAGACCTGCTAACACCACTGCCTATGTACACTGGTCAGGGGCCTAAGGACAGGAACACTCGGCCTGCTACCACCACCACTGGGGCCTGAGGATTGACCTGACTGATGTCCCCATTGCCAGCAAAGCCTCACCACAGCCTCAGTTAACAGCCACAGCCTAAACCACTAATAAAATCACAGACACCAAGGATACTGATTATAGCCAAAGAAATGCCAGGGAGACTATACTACTACATGAACCCAGAATCAAAGCTAAAGTGCCCTACTCAACCAACACTATAGATAAATCTACAGGAAAAAAAAAAAAAAACCTTCCCCTATGAAAGCCAATCCAAAAAATTAGAAAAAGCAACTGTTACAGCAGATGTGCAGATGCCAACATAAGGACACAAGAAACATGAAAAAGCAAGGAAACATGACAACTTAGAGTAACAATAATTCTCCAGCAAGAGATTCCAACGTAAAAGAAATGTGTGAAATGCCTACAAATAATTTAAAATAACAATTTAAATATACTCAGTGAGATACAAGAGAACACTGATAAATAATAAAAGAATTCAGAAAAACAATTCAGAAATCAAATGAGATAATTCAATAAGGAGATATTATTTCAGAACCTGAGGGCAAGTCATTTGAAATAACCCAGTAAGGTGAAAGAAACAGAGAAAGGAAAGGAAAGTAGATGGGAGGGGAGGTGAGGGAAGGGGAGAGGGGAAGGGAAAGGACGGGGAAAGGAGAGGGGAAAGGAGGGGGGAAATGAGAGGGGAAAGGAAAATGGAAAGGGAAGGGGAAGAGAAGGGGAGAAAGAAAAGAAAAAGAAAAGGAAGGAGGGAAGGAGGGAAGGGGGGAAGGGAGGGGGGGGAAAGGAAGGAGGGAGGGAGGGAGGGAGAAAGGAAGGAAGGAAGGAAGGAAGGAAGGACGGAAGGAAGGAAGGAAGGAAGCCAGCCAGCCATGCATGCATGCATGCATGCATGGTGTTTCACACCCAGAATTTTGGGAGGCGGAGGTGGGAGGATCATTTGAGGTCAGGAGTTTGAGACCAGCCTGGCCAACATGGTAAAACCATGTCTCTACCAAAAATACAAAAATTAGCTGGGCATGGTAATGCATGTCTGTAATCCCAAGTACTTGGAAGACTGAGGCAGGATAATCACTTGAACCTAGAAGGCGAAGGTTGCAGTGAACTGAGATTGCATCACTGCAATCCAGCCTGGGCAAAGGGTGAGACTCTATCTCAAAAAAGGGAAGGAGAAGGGAAAGGAAAAGGGGAGGGAAAAAGGAGGGAGGGAGGGAGGGAAGGAAGGAAGGAAGGAAGGCCGGCCGGCCAGCTGGCTACAGTGGCTCACATCTGTAATACCAACACTTTGGGAAGGCAAGGTGGGTGGATCATTTGAGGTCAGGAGTTCAAGACCAGCCTGGCCAACATGGCAAAACCCCATCTCTACTAAAAATACAAAAATTAGCCAGGCGTGGTAGTGCACATCTATAATCCCAGGTACCTGGGAGGCTGAGGCAGGAGAATCACTTCAACCTGGAAGGCAGAGGTTGCAGTGAGCCAAGATCACACCACTGCACTCCAGCCTGGGTGACAGAGCCAGACTCCATCTCAAAAACGAAAGGAAGAAGGCAGGCAGGCAAGGAGGGAGGGATGGAGAGAGGGGAGGGAAAGAGAGGGAGGGAGAGAGGAAGGGAGTTAAGAAAGGAGAGGAGGGAGGGAGGGAGGGAAAAAAATAAAGAAACCCTACATGACATTTTGGAAAAGCCTAGAAAACTTATTTAATAAGATGATCACCAAAAATTTCCCAAGTCTTGCAAGGGATTCAGACATCCAGATAGTGGAAGCTAAAGCTCCCCAAACAGATTCAACCCAGAAAGGTCTTCTCCAAGGCACTTTATAGTCAAACTACCAAAAGTCAAAGACAGAGAATTCCAAAAACAAGAGAAAAGCATCAAGTCACATGTAAGGGAACTCAGACTAATAGTGGATTCCTCAGTAGAAATCTTACACTCTAGAGAGGATGGAATGAAAGAAAAACTTTCAATGTGCTGAAGAAAACAAAGACCAAATGGACCTAACAGATATATACAGAACATTTTATCCAACAATTACAGAATACACATTCTTCCCATCAGCACATAAAAATTCTCCAGGATAGGCTACATGTTAGGCCATAAAACAAGTCTAAACAAATTTGTAAAAATTTGAATCACATTAAGAATCTTTTCTGATCACAATGGGAAAAAAATAGAAATTAATAATGAGAAATTTTCGAAACTGTAAAAAAACATGGAATTTTTTTTTTTTTTTTTTTGAGACGGAGTTTCACTCATGTTACCCAGGCTGGAGCCGCGATCTCGGCTCACCGCAACCTCCGCCTCCAGGGTTCAGGCAATTCTCCTGCCTCAACCTCCTGAGTAGCTGGGATTACAGGCACGCACCACCATGCCCAGCTAATTTTTTGTATTTTTAGTAGAGACGGGGTTTCACCATGTTGACCAGGATGGTCTTGATCTCTTGACCTCGGGAAATTATTTTAACAACATGCTCCTGATTGACAATTGGTCAACAAAGATATTAAGAAGAAAAACAAACAAACAAAAATCTTGAAACAAATGAAATGAAAACACACGTACCCAAACCTATGGGATACAGCAAGAGCAATGCTGAGACGGAAATTTATAGCAGTAAAAATCTACATCAAAAAGTAGAAAGATTTCAAATAAATAAAATTATGTACCTCAAGGAACCAGAAAAGCAAAAACAAACCAAACCCAAAATTAGTAGAAGGAAAGAAATAATAAATATTAGAGCCGAACTAAATGAAATAGAAACTAAAAAACAATACAAAGAATTCAATGAAAAGAAAGTTGGTTTTCTGAAAAGATAAACGAAACTGATAAACCACTAAAAGACCCCCCAAAAAACAAAATCAGAAATTAAAATGGAGATCTCTACAGTGAAAATTACAAAACACTGATGAAAGAAACTGAAGAGGACACAGACAAATGAAAAGACATCCCATACTCATGGATTAGTAGCATTAATATTGTAAAAATGACCATACTACCCAAAGCAATCTACAGATGTAATACAATCCATATCAAAACAATCATAACATCCTTGACAGAAATAGGAGAAACAATCCAAACTTTATATGGAACCACAAAAGACTCTGAATAGCAAAAGCAATCCAGAGCAAAATGGACAAAGGTGGAGGTATCACAACACCTGATTTCAAAATACGCTATAAAGCTATAGTAACCAAAACGGCATGGTCTTGGCATAAAAATAGACACATAGACCAATGAAAAAGAATAGAGAACCCACAAATAAATCCACGTATTTATAGTCAATTGATTTTTAACAGTGGCACCAAGAACACACATTGGAGAAAGGACACCTTCTTCAATAAATGAGGCCAGGAAATGATATTCATAGGCAGAATAATAAAACTAGAACCCTATCTCTCACCATATCCAAAAAAAAGAAAAAAACACAAAATGGATTAAAGACTCAAATGTAAAACCTAAAACTATAAAACCACTGGAAGAAAACACAGGAGAAAGGCCGTAAGACATTGGAATGGGAAAATATTTTATAGCTAGGATCTCAAAAGCACAAGCAACAAAAACAAAAATAGATAAATGGGACTATTTTAAACTACAATGTTTCTGCACAGCAAATGAAACAACAAACAGAATAAAGTGATAAACTGCTGAATGAAACAAAATATTTGCAAACTATTCATCCAACAAGGGAAACGTATCCAGAATACACGAGGAATTCAAATAACTCAACAGCAAAAAAAAAAAAATAATAATAATAATAATAATCCATCAGAAAGTGGGCCAAAAACCTAAACAGACATTTCTCATCAGAAGACATACAAACAGCTAACAGATATATGAAAAAATGTTCAACATCACTAATAGTTAGGAAAATGAAAATCAAAACCACAATGAGATATTATATTACCCCTGTTAGAAGGGCTATTATCAAAAAGACAAAAAATAAAGAAGCTGGCAAAGATAGAGGGCTTACACACTCTAATTTATGTTCCCACCAATATAAATTAGTACCACCTATAAAAACAATATGAAGTTTCTCAAAAAACTAAAATATTGTAGTAACCATATGATCCAGCAATCCCACCACTTG